GGTAAGTGCACCATATGTCTAGCTTAGATCAATATATAAATTTAAAAGTGCATGTTTGCATTGTATAAAGTTCTCCATTTTTCCTCTTTGCCATCTACATATTTGAAAAATGATCTTTTTAAATTTTTAGTTTTACTATCAATCTGCATCTGTTTGTAGCAACGTATTGACCTGCCATTGCAATAACAATTGTTTGTGTTTGTAAAATTCATGAATCACTGACCTATATTATTGCAATATCAATGTTTCACTTGAAGAGTAAGACGGTTCTAAAGTTCTCTATTGATTGGACTGTAAGCGCATTTTCATTAAGCTCTCTACTCCTATATGTTTCTGGTCTAGATCGTTCACCATTTTATTTTATATTTTGAATCATGTTAGTTCAATATCTTTAAAACACATGAAACTTAAAATTATAACTCAAAATAGTTTACGTGCAATGCACGTGTGCACCAACTAGTAATTCTAAAAATGAAATAAGTCTTTTTAATTGATCAATAGCAACATCAATATGCATGTATTTAGATTATAAATTTTTACTAATTGTGTTAACAACAAATAATATATCATACCAATATATTCATACCCAATAAAAATTCAAAATTTTTAATCTCATATGTAGCTAAGCATATGACTTCACTCTTTGTTTTAGGATCTTCACTAGTTTTTGCTAATTGAATTAAAACATCTCATATTTTTGGAGTCTGATACTTGATTGCTTTAACAGTTTCTATATGACTTTCCCATTGCGTTTGAGATAATGATTTAAAAGTTAACATAGATATATTATCTTGTAAAATTTTTCATCGCTTTGCTGAAGAAAAAAATAATGAGTATATGTGTTGTAAACTCCAAAAAAAATATGGCTTTAGGACAAGAGTTAGCTATATCACAAAATACGAGGTTAAGATTATGACATCCACAAGGTGTGTAAAACGCTCTTGGATTTATATCTAGTAGCCTTTTTTTTGTACACCTTGGTGTTTTCCTTTCATATTAGAGCAATTATTATGTCCTTGTCCTCTTACATCATTTACATTAAGTCCAAGTTTTTTAATTACATTTATAAGTTGATTAAAAAGACATTTTCCAGGTGTATCATCTATTTCCAAAAATTCTAAAAAATATTCTTCTATTTTTATTGAACTTGTTGAAATATCTACACATCACAATATAAGAATCATTTGTTCTTAATGACTTGCATCAAGAGTACAATCAAGTATTACTGAAAAATATTTTTCTTCTTTAAGTTAAAGTTCTTACAAGTACTTTTTTTCAATAATCTTTCTCTTTATTAATTTGTTCTTGAATATTTTCATAAATAGTTTTATTTTTTGAAAATCTTATTTCTAAATCAACCCAAGAATTCATGTTAGTGATAAGCTCATTAGTTGTTTTATGAGTTTTGAGCTTATAACCAATATTTTTCCAATCTTTAGTTCCTCGTTAACTAATTGACTTGTACTAGCGTTTGAATTGAATAACTTACAACAAAAGCAATATACTCTATCTAAATCTTTTGAATATATTAGCCATTTTCTATCATGCTTTTCTCCATTTGACGATTTTTGAGTGTAATGTGCAATAGAAAAATGTCTATTATTTTCATCATTAGGAAAGTCTAAATCATTTTCCCTAATAGGACCTCTTTCAACTAATAAGTCTCTTATTTTGTGTCTATATTTTTTCATTGTCCTGGATCACAAATATTTATTGGATCAAAATTTGACAGTTCACTATCATGTCCACATTCTTTACCACTTTATACTTCACTAACAAGTTCGCATTCTTTACCAATTTCTAGTTCACTAACATGTTGACATTCTTTACTAACAGCATGTTCACTAACAATCATTGAATCACCATTTCCATTTTTTATTGTAGTTGGTTCATCACTAATAACAAATTTATCAAGTGCTCCTTATTGAGATTCAATAAATTCATTTTGTTTTCTCTTCTTTTTTTTAAAACGTTTTTCACATCCAGAATCATATCTTCGAGTAGACATATTAATTATATAACTTTCAGTTACAAAAATTAAATTAAACTAGAATAAAAGTTAAAGAATAACACGACCTGGTATTGCAAGAGAGGGAGTAGTTGCCTTTGTTGTGACTCTTTAATCTTGATTCTTGATCACTATCAATCGCTAGGTTGTTGAACCACAAAAGATTAGAGAGCTTTGGTGTTCTTTGTTTATTGCTCAATCTGTTCAGATTTACTGGTTGAATTCATCATAGAGAGAGAGAGAGAGTGAGCAAGTGAGTGGCATTACATAGAACCTGTGGTCTTTGAGTCCTGTAACTGGCGTGCAACACGTGAGAGAGGCAGAGTGATGTAGAGAGATATGGTTAATTCCTTCACAGAGAGAGAAAGAGAGAGAGAGGTTTACCTTCGCCTGATGTTGCAAAATTCTAACAGTTTACTACAGCTAACGGAGCAATTTTTTAGCTAAGCAGTTAAAGTGCTAATGGATTTATCAATAAAATTTGAGCCCTCTCAAATTTGTCCATCCAAAATATATGTACCCATACGTAAAAATCTTAACAAGGGCCCCCACAAATTTGTAAAATTGGGGACCCTAGACGGGCAACTAACTGGCCTATGCCTACCTAGCCTAAGACCTTTTAATCTGAGCTACCTAGTTGGTCATTCTGAAGCCGTCATGAATACTACTATTATGAATGACTAAGCTTAGCTCTAAATTCACTTACTCCTTGTAAAGCAGCTCCTCTTTATTAAGAAAATATGGTGCTATTAATGGACTAATGTTTAGTATGCTTTTAGGACTCTAATGAGAAGAGCATATATATATATATTGCAAAACTCAAGTGGATTACATTTATCATTCAAAAATGACTTTTACAAAACTCCACAAGCCACATAGAATCCATGTGAAACTGTGTCAATCTATTGAATTCTTATGCTAATTGTAATGAATGTTTGAGATTCCCTATGAGTTAAATAGCAACATGCACATGCTTGAGTTGAGTTGTTAGTATTTTCATCTAATTAATTGATTTGCTGGTTTATATGAATTGGGATGTTTGATTGGTTATTTGCTTGATTTATCATCGACTCCGAACATGTTAAATGCTTGGATTCATTTAGATTAACTTGTTGATTATACTCTAGAGAATTTCCTTATTAATCTTTGACAAATCCTCCAATTGGGTTCACTCCCTAGTTGATTCCCAATTAAGATTGGAAATAAGGATTAATTTACTACTGAAGTGTCATTGAAGTAGTACCCATTGCCTTAGTATTTTTCTCAAATTGTATTTCCTAACAAATTTTAGTTTATTTGTTTTAAAATTAATACTAAATCACTCTCAAACATACAACATTTTTTTATTACTTATTTTTCACTATAAAGTCTCCATCTCCCTGTGGATCGACATTGGAATCTACCAAAAAATTACTACTTTCTAACACATGCACTTAGGTTTATAACTTCCGAAACAAAACAAGTTTTTGGCGCCATTGCCGGGGAGGCAGCGCGATTGAGAAGTATTCCATCATCATTCAAGGTTTGCTCAATTTTTGCATAAGCAGAGATTGGGGTGAACTCTTTCCACTTTTACAAACTTTTTATTTAATTTTATTGCATTTTATTTTATTTTGCTACTTGTGTTAGTCATTGTTGCATGCAATCTTGGCATAGAGAGATTGGTCAAAGGTTGATTAGGGATGATTTTGACTTACTATCTGAAGATTTACTTGATACACCCCCACGACCATATACACATCCTAAGATGGCACAAAATCACCCAATATGTCAAAATCCTTTACTACCACCACTAGGTGATGATGCTAGAAATAATCTTAGCGACAATGAGGCTTATGAGGAAGTGAACAATGAGTGTGCTAATGTGAATGTAAATAATGATAGAATACTGAGAATAATTACAACCCGCCCATTACACTACACATTCATGCATTATTTTTCCAGTGAAAGCTCATCATTTTGTCTTTAAATTGGACATGATTGCATTGTTGCCCAAATTTTACGATTTAGATTCTGAAAATTTACACTTTCATATTTGTGATTTTGAGAAAGTTTGTGCCCCATTCCAAGACTTGATTGCTACTGAGGGTATAATCCATTTGAACATTTTTCCTTTCTCTCTAAAGGATAAAACTAAAACGTGATTAAACTCTCTTAGGTCAATTTTATTGGAATGTGGCATGAAATGCAAGAAGAGTTCCTTAAAAAAAAATTCAACTCAAAAAACAAATACTTTGAAGCGACAAATCATGAATGTTTGTCAAAGAGACAATGAAACGTTTTACCAATGTTGGGAGAGGTTCAAGGAACTACTTGCATCATGCCCTTACCATGGATATGAAAGTTGATGGATTAGAAGTTTTTTCTAAGAGGATTTGTCTTCCCAAATGAGGCAATTTGTGAAAATGATGTGTATTGATGAGTTCATGGCTAAAGAACCGAAAGAGGCTTTTGATTACTTTGATTTCTTAGTTGAGAGTGCCCAAGCGTGGGACACTCAATCTGTGACGCCCCTAAAACCAGGAGTTTTTTGTCAACCGTTCATCACCCATCAACCCACGGAAGTACCGTGGGCATTGCATAACCCAACACCACGACAATAACATCCTTTCACCGGGATCACAACAACATAGTGTTTGGACCGAGTCTCCCTCGTACCAGGTGCTCCCAAACACATAACTTGTGCATATTTTAACCACATGATTCATCCAAGACCCAATATACATTAACTTACTCTTTATATAACTCCATTTATCCCCTTGAAGTAAAAGAACTAAAGGACCAGAAGCATAGCAAAACATTTTTAAATTTTGAAGTTTGGAGAAAACCTACCGGTATAAAATTTACAAGTTCTACCAATAAAAAAACCTTCTAGAAATGTTCTAATGGTTGGTTTATCAATATTCTACCGGTAGGAAAACTAAATAGAAATGTTCTACCGGCAAAACTCGACGTTCTACCGATAGAAGAAGCCAACTGGAAATGTTCTACCGGTAGGTCTTCCCAGTTTTCCCATGATTCCATTTTTTTTCAATTCCAATCATTCCAACCTTATACAACATCAACCTAAACTCATACAACATGCAATCTTACATAAAACATAGTCCATATGAGTTTGATTACAATCCCTTGTATACAATTTCATGTCCAAAATGTAATTATATCTTAGTTTTACAAAAGCATAGTTTAAAAGCTATATCTTGGCTTTTCATCATCAATGAGGGTCCGAGTGAGAGCCGTCCACCAACGCATATCTCGCACCTGAAATGTTGTCCCCATAAAGGGTGAGTCACGCTCAATAGGGTATCTCCTAAAGAGGCTACTCCCCTACCTAAATGCATATGAAATGTTCACATGCAATTCACAAGCAGCAATTACTCCATTCAAGAATATACAATTTAACAATGAAATACTCTGTGTCATGCCATGATATGAAATAAAACTCACACATGCAACTCAACCCGAGCCTTCATCAGCTCCCATAACACATGCAATGTCATGCGTTTAAATCCGGGTATTTTGAAACCCCGCCGTTAATGTTACACATCTAATGACTATTAAAATTCCGGGTCTTTCTTATAGTAGGTATTTATGGACTCACACCAATGGACACCCAACTGACACGACTACTGCTAATATACTAGATTACTCTAACACCCATAACCCAAAAATGTTAATTACAAGCAGCAGGGTGGTTACTAGGTTCAAGTTGAAGCAGCAATATAGTTGAAGGCAGCCAAGCTGAGTTGTTTCACATTTTGTATAATTATAGATACTTAGAATTCAATTTCACTACTGATTAGCAAATAAGGATAGGTAGAAAAAATGATGGATAAATGTAAAAAATAGAGACAAAAAAGGGGCACATTTGCGAACCTGCAGCATTCAAGTCTTATGATAGGTGGGTATAGAAACCCCTGACTCGCCCGTCATCTTTTTGTAAGCATTTTGCAATCTCTGAGTCACAGGTCCTACTCGGCCATCGCCAATGATGCGCCCATCAATCTCAATGACCTGGAAAGGAAGTCCAATTTAAACGTAATTTATCACTATGAGAAAGCAATACATTTGATGGTGAATAATCACCACAAACAATCATAGTTTACCTAAGAAATTTCTACTAGCGACTCTTAAGATTTTAAAGCAGTTGAAGCTCTAATCAGTATGTGCATAAAGGATGGATGTCATGGATGTAGCCAACCAAAGCAAATCTCATTCCAACTAAACACATGGTTCAATATTTTATAAACATACTTCTTTTCTGTAGGTTAAAGGCAATTAAATCACCATAGAAGAATAACTAAGATAGAAGGCCAGACGCACCTGATTTGCTACATCGTTTGACCCACATCTGATAATTGAACAAGAAATAACATATTATACATCATGCTTTGGTACGAATTTATTCCATCACTAAACCACACCCAACTTAGATGAACAGACCGGAGCTTCCTCTGAGCAACCACATCCCAAGGTATGGTTCAGCTGGGCATGGACCACGTGTAAAGCATTGAGAAAAGGGCTTGGGCTAGGCTACAATCCAAACCTACTTACCTGACCTGCAGCCCTAAGACTGTTTATCGTTAAGATGAACAATCCAATTGATTTAAGTTTGAGCTAGAGCAGTTTGATTAAAAAGTTGACAATTAATAAAAAGAACTAGATATGTTATTCAAAGGCTCAGAACATAAAGGGACAGAGTAACAAAAATGGATGCAAAGGTCAAAATCATTCAACAAACTAGTCTTCACAAATTCACAATTATTACCAACTGTAATGCAGAGGGATCCGATAAAAGGGACATACCGGACTGAGTTCTCCCATAGTTCCAGTTGTCCACACCTGCAGGGAAAAAATTCAAAGTAAAACTCTAAATGTGAAACGCAAGTAGAAAAAGCTAACCATGATTAAGCATTATCATGAGTCGGGGATCGATGAAGCTTATGTCGACAAAATGTTGCTTTCACAAGAATGCAGCAGAGAAGTCTTTGATGAAGTCCATATATTCCAAGTTCAAAAATCAGATCAGATGTTGTAGCATCTTCAATGCATGCAAATAAACTATGTATTTGCAAGCCATGGGAAGGAAGAATTCTTGTTGGCAAAAGTATTAGAAAAGCATTCACAGGAGAGGAGGTGCAACGTTACACAAAGTATACAAAAATGAAAAAAAGAATAAAAATACCAGTTATGAAGGATATGTTTTCCTTTTTATACAGGGGCACATGCTTGAGGAATTTGAAATTTAAGGATGAGCAGGACATTATTTTCTCCAGGAAAATGAGAGCCTGCTCATATTAAAGTTTTACCGTTACAAGAAAATTTGTCTGCATGCCAGGGTAAGTGTGATGTTTTCCTATTTTTGATAAGAGACATTTTTGGGCTCCTTTTTGTTGACTATTTTCATACCTGGGCATTAACATTCAACTTCGGGGAAGTAATTGTTGTTTGATTTGATGACATGCTTATAATCTCTCTAACCAACACCCTAGCCTTAAGGGAATACTCCAAGGATAAAATGATTAAGCAATAAAAACAATGAGATACTTCAGAGGGAAAATTATGGATAACTTTTTTGTCGCTAACCACAGATATAGATTCCCTCCTTTTTGTTTAAGCACCTACACGTAAACTCATAGCGTTTTGAATTAATACTTGCCAGAAAAAACGTTTTAGATTAAAATAAAATTGTTAGAATTTCCATCTCATTTCACAGAGAGTTAAAAGCATCTAAAATTGATGTCGGGAAGTTTTTTCTCCAGAATTGACCATTTGAATACCCAAGTCGCGCTTTGGGAAGTGTTCCTCCAAAAACTAACCATTATTTTAATGCCTAACCAATCTAGCTTTACTCACTAGTTTCAATGTTATTCAACCTTGAGCAATGGACAAAACAGTTTTCATATGGAAACCAACCCTTGGAAACAAAACACTTCAGACCACTCTCTCCCTTTAACTCGTGTCACCTTGGTCCAGCCTGCTTAACCATCAAAAGTGCTATTTTATTGTATTTAAAGATAGGTTAATTCAATAATATTTTGGCATATATGTGTTGAATTATTCAATATTCTGGTTTGATAGTTATTCTAGTTGTTTGTCTATTTTTGTAGGTATTTTGATTGATTTAGACAAGTATTGAAGTAATTGCAAGGAGATCGACCAATGGAGAAAAGAGGAAGTAATTGCTTTAAAGATTGATGTTGGTCCCAACGCGCAATTTTCGTCTGAACAGTCCTCATACACAGATTAATAAAGATGGTGAGATGTTCTTAGCCAGTGAGCCAAGTGCGTCCGGACGCACTTGGTCTGTCTGACATGCCTTCTAAAGGTGTTGATGATACACAGTTGCACCCGGATGCTTCTGGCCCGTCCGAACACGAGGGTTTAAATTTGTCCAGCGACTATACACTATTCAGACATATTGGAGTCATTAGGACACCGAATTGTACTTCTATTTGGTATTAAAAGTAGGGATCAAAATATCGTTTCGGTGCATTGTCTCAATCACCTAGGAAACGAAAACGTTTCGACCCGTTTCGGAAATAAAATGAAAAAAATCAAAAATTTAATAATTATTTTTCCAAAAAATAAGGTCGAATTATACCAAATTATTTTAAAATATCTTGAAACATTCTAAAATAATTGTGCAAATGCATTGAAACATTACAAAACACTTCAAAACATTATGAAACGCCTTGAAGTATTAGAATTTTGATTCTATCACTGATTCATTTCAGTCTCCTTGAAAACAGAGATGTTTCGGACATTTCGAAACAAAATTTTAATCCTTGATTAAAAGTGTGTGAAATGTAACCCTAGTCCCCTATTATAAATACATGGGGGAGTGGGAATCCTTTTTCTAGCAGCTTTTTCATTTTTTTTCTAGATTTTTGGTGATCTACCATGCATAGTGAGTAGTTCCCTTGCACTCTTTACTTAAGGTGATGAATTTGTGAATATTTGTTGAGGTGATTATATTTATGCAACTGATATTTTGGTTTTATTGTTAAATCTTTCTTTTCTTAGATTGAATGAATATCTTGTGTAAAGTTTTATATTTTGTAAAATTATTTAATTGTTTATTAAGATTTGAGTTCTTAGTATAACCAATGCTTATAATTTCCTACAAATATTCAAACTAGGTTTTCAAATCTTATTTTCAGATCAATCAAATTCACTAAGTGTTTAATGAAATATTTTTAGTTTAACTACAATGACGTTGGATATTACCCAAGATATTGAGAATTGCATAATTATATAATCTAATAAATATGATCAAATCTAATATATATGATCAAATCTACTTTCAATTGTTTTCCAACTAAATCAACTTTACAATTACAACCTAGTTCTTCCTTCACATTGAATTGCTCAATCCGTTTGGTTCGACCTCGGACTTACCGCATATTTACTACTTCTTGACCACCTACACTTGGGTGTATCATTGAAGATCAAGTAAATTTTTGACATCGTTGCCAGAGATCGAAAGCAATTTGAAGAAGAAGAAGAAGAAGAAGATTGGCATACGAATGCCCAAAATTTCAAATCCTTAAATGTTAAACCAAAGAGATCAAGCCAAGGTCTATCCAATTAATTGTTATCTTCTTCTTTAAACCAAGGAGATCAAGCGAATTGAAATTGGCATGCGAATGTCCAAAATTTCAATGTCAAACCAAGGTCAATCTAATTACAACCCCAGTTCCATGGGCTTGAATATGAAAATCCATATTTAAAGAACTCAAGTAGATATGTGGCACTTTTCGAGACAACTCTAAAGTAGCCCGTCTTAAGTTCTTCTCCTTCTCACTAAGGATAAAGCTAACCATTGTGGCTCAATGCTTTAAACCTCTATTTATTGCCAATTGGCAAGCCTTAAAAAAAAGAGTTTTTCAAGAAAATTTTCCCTATTCATCAGACTAATGATTTGAAACGCCAAATCATGAATTTCTCAGTTAAAGAAGAAACATTTTATGATTGTTGGAGACCAAGCATTTGAAAATTGGCGGCTAGTTGGTTTCTTCTATGATGTTATCGCTACTTTTTTGCATTAGTTCGTTGAGATGATATCTCAAGGGGAGTTTTTAAAAAAGAGTCCCGATGATGCATTTGACTATTTCGATACCCTTGCTGAGAGTGCTTAGATGTGGGACTCTACATCGTCTCCTCACCCATAATCTAGAGCTATCACATCCTATGGGGAAATTATGCATTGAAAGAGGAAGATGACTTGAGAGCTAAAATGGACTCGCTCACGCAAGCTTAAGACATTGGAGATGTGAAAGGTCAATGAGGTGTCAAGTGCTCCCACTATTAAGCAAATGTACAGAATCTGTGCTTTGTCTGGCATCCCACTAGGGAGTGCTGTACCATCCTAGCTGCAAAGAGGTCTTGTTATATCAGTCCAATATGATCTTTGCTTTTAACAAACCTTATTTCAATCCCTACTTCGAGATTTATAATCAAGGGTGATGCAACCAACCAAATTTCAGTTGGAGGAAAACCCAATAACCATCGGTCAATCCTCCACCACCACAAGGTCTCCCACAATACCCACCTTACCAGCCACCACATAATAGAAGTTTTGAGGACACCTTGAACCAGCAAAACCAAATGAATTTCAACACTTAATCCACTCAATCTTTTAATGAATTCAAGGCTCAAACTTCTCAATTCATTGATGACATTAAGAGTCACATCACGAAGATGACCCAATCCTTTACTACCACTAAGAAGGGTAAGTTCTCTTCTCAACCCAAACCACCTTCCCGGCCCCCATCGAGAAATAAAACTGACTAATCCCAAGTCAAAGGGTTGACAAACTCAACACCACTATTCTTGAACAACTTGGAGCCAGACCTTCTTTTCACACTATTACAGATATGAAAATAATGGAAAAAATCATATTCAATTGTCAACTATTCCTATCGGAAATAGGATTGACTACGGATTCGAGTCATAGCTCATGGTTTCATAAAACCGCACGATTTTCTCGATCTAAATCAAACAAGTTTTACATGAACAAGATTTGGTTCAGCATGTTCTATTCGACAAGGTCAATTTCAAGTAGGTAGCTCTTCCACAACTGACCCACCATCTGAGCATATATAGGCTATTACTACTCGTAGGAGTGGAAAGATGGTAGAAAAAGCCATGCTAGAAACATAGTCTAATCCTGTTGTTGATTCTGCATTAGTCTCCCCATGTGAGATTGAATCTATGGGGAATAAAGAACTATCTTGTCCTATACTTGCACCCTTTTCCCAATAATCATACCGATATTTACGTGCTTTTCCAATATTCATTTTCTTGATGTCATTAACAAGGTACCCTCTTATGCTAAGTTCATAAAGGACTTGTCAAGCATAATATTTATAATATAAAATAAAACAGACTTCAATAACCTCATCCCATAGTTTCAAAAAGACTCATTCAACAGTACCAACATCCCTCTCAAAACCATTAACATTAAATTCTTTCCCCCCCCTCCAAATCCATTACTTATCACTTATGTTGCATCGTGCCTTTAGGCACGAGTTACCGCTAATCAATGTACAAAAGAGAGCATCTCTCACAGAATAGGCCATTGCCATCATTCAACATAAAACTCCTCTAAGATACAAGGACCCCTAGTGTCCCACAATTTCATGCATAATAGATAACTTCAGGATTGAGCAAACTTTGCTTGATCTTGGAGTCAATGTCAATTTACTCTCATATTCATTCTATGGACAGTTTGATCTAAATGAGCTCAAGCCTATAGGTATCACATTACAATTAGCTGACCGATCTGTCAAAGTCCCAAGGGGAGTGGTTGAGGATGCTTTTGTCAAAGTGGACAAATTCTATTTCCCAGTAGATTTTATTGTACTGGACACCTAGCTGATTTTACATCTTAGTAGTCAAATATTTATTATTCTAGGTCACCCTTCCTTGCTACTTCTAATACTTTGATAAATTGCTAGAATGGGGTCATGAAGTTGTCTTTTGGGAAAATGACTTTCGAGCTTAATATTTTCAATATTGCAAAAGAACCGGGGAGGAGGAGGAGATTAAAGAAGTGAATTGCTTTGAGTCCTTGGCATAGGTGCATGTTAATAGGGCATTTTTTGGGGATTCTTTAGAAGCATGTTTGAGTCTGTCACGGGGAGTCTTGAATCGATGTTGAATGACGAATGTAACGAGTTGAGTGCATTGTTAGATGCCCTTCTTGTCTCATATGTTGGGCAATGGGTGCCCAAATTTAAGTGAGTTATCACCAAGTGACACTACGCCTATTTCATTTAGCATCATTGCACCTAAATCCGAGTTAAAACCTCTCTCATCAGATCTTAATTATGCTTTTCATGGCGAGGATGAAACATATCCACTAACAATTTCTTTTTCTAAGCTCACAACATCCCAGGAGTTAAAGTTTATTAGAGGTCCTCAAGCATATTCGTAGTGCTATAGGATGGATCATGGCT